TTCTACTTGAGTGCTTGGTATCATCTTCTCATTTTTTAAATGAATGCAGCCTGTACTGCTGTGAGACAAAACACAAATGGCTTTGGAAAAAGAGTGGACAATTACTACTTTTAGAAAATGAGATCTTAATATACAAAGGAGGTTTATTTGGGAGAGGAATAAACCACAGAGAGAACAACATCCAATCTCCCTGGATTTTCCTTAGGAAGGAAAGACAAGTGATTTCTCTGAGCCCTGGCAGATTCAAAGGGATGTTACTTACAACTGTCTTTTATAAAATAAAGGGCAGCGCTGAGTTACCAAAGTGTAACTTCCCTAAGATTTTTCATTTTTATTTTTCATTCTAACATACTATTTTAAGCATCAGTCGTTTGTCTCACATTGAACCGGGTATGTGTTTAATTTTTGTTACTATAGTGAGAAACAAATCAGTATCTTTAAGTGGTAATAAAAGAAAAAGCCTCAGAGGTCCCTGTCATAAAAAACAAAAACAAAAAACAAACCTTCCTCTCGCTGACTCATACATTCCTCCCGAAACTCCAGATCTAATTTAAATGCTACGTCAATTATTAGTAGAGAGTGCAAACAGAAACGAACCAACTTTTCTCATATCCTAAACTATTATCTAAATATTTAAATAAGTATAGCACAAAATAAAATTCATTACAAGCTGAAATGAAAAATACCTTCAGCAGAAAAGGGAATGTCTTAAGAAGATGTACATCTAAAACACACAGTTGGTGCCTGACAATGAAGCAAGTCTTGGACATTTCTGGAAAGACTTGCTGCCAATAGAATGGGGAGACTGAGAAAAGATCAAGCTGACAGGTTTAGTTCTGGGGCTTGCTCCATTCACATTTATCTTGTTTGGGTTTGCAAAATAAAACCTCACCCTGAGTGAATAAGAATGAGGCCCACTGAGCACAAGGGACATGTATGACTGTGTTGGATATTTCAACCCTACAGAAAACAGAATATGGAAAAATAATTTTAAATCACACCCTGAAAGAAATTCCCTCTTCTTTCTTTTTCTCCCATCTTACTTCAAAGAAATAAAGGAACCAAGGGCCAGAGAGCTAGGGGATGATAATGAAAACAACAGCCTTTAAGTGTGAGATTCTGACCAGCAGAATAAACAAAGGCAGTCAAAGGATGGCTTTGAGAAGCGGGGCAGAAACACGGTCCTGTGAAAATGCAAAGGGGTAATATATCCAGTAAGATTCAAAGTGCCATCAACTCTCCTAACTCAATTATAAGATGACAGTTGCTAAACTGGAAATGGTACTTCAACCTCAACGATAACAGCCCAGATCTACTGATGCACAAAAGCAGAGATAATTTTCTAGACAAGTGTGGGTGCATCCTGGTAACCAAATACCAGAAATAGTGACTCACACATGCTAATGAAAGGAAATAAGATGTCGCTGAAAGGGCCTTGGTTGGAGGATTCCTGACATCTGAAATGAAAGACTTGAAAGCATGCATGCGGGCGACATACTGAGCAGAGATAACTAGGGCCGTTTTCTGAGTTCTAAGCAAAATTTGTTCTAACTACATGAGGCTGTTTGCATTCATGACCTCTTTTAGCCAACATGAGAGTACAGTCAGGGCCATAAAAATCTCTAAGAACATGACTTAGCAGAGAGTTTCATTCAGCACTTAGCTGCCTCTCCATTTCTCCTTTCTGCAGGGGTATTCATGTATGCATGTCAGAGTGTTGATATGTCTGCCAGACTCATGGCATGGAAAGATGTTCAAGGGTTCATATAGGCAAATGGAGAAACCAGAGATTTCGTAGATATCCATGTATATTTAACCAACCTTAAATTACCATTGGAAATTGAAGGGATGCCCCTTTTGTCTAGAACAACAGTTCTCAACTTGTGGGTCACAACCCCTTTGAGGGTCGAAGGACCTTTTCACAGGGGTTGCTTGATTCTTAACAATAGCAAAATTACAGTGATGAAGCAGCAACGAAAATAATTTTATAGTAGGGGGGAGGGGTCAGCACAACAAGAGGAACTCTATTAAAGGGTTGCAGCATTAAGGAGGGTTGAGAACCCCTGGTCTAGAGTAACACTAAAGACCACAGATAATTAATGAATTTTTAAAAATCCAGAAAACTGACTTACAAATTCAAGGCTGGATTTCCAGAATTTAGGCATTATTAAAACTGTTGTCTGTTTTGAAGATAAACAAGAGGCCATCTAACTGAGAAGCAACAAAGTCCACATGGAAGAAGCACACCAGCCTGTGTGATCATGAGGTGTCGATGGGATCAGGTATCAGGCATCAAAGACCCAGAA